ATAACCCGATAACCAATCCCACATGAAGCACCGCCATCCCTCCTCCCTAAGATAGACCAAATAAGGGGACAGAATCAACCGGAATCGAAGCAGACAAGATTCTCATTCAAAAGAAACATTCTACCATCATCAATATATATATATCATATATTGTCACATGATATCAGAGCGCAAAAGCGAAAAAATTAAAAAAAACAGAAGAGTGAAATCATTTTTTATCTTCTTCCTTAAACTCCCCCTGTTCAAAACCTCTTGCGTACAAGGCCGCCCACGTGGATGTAGGTTGAGCGCCGGCTGCCCCCACCCCCGTGTGTCATATTGACCCACTTGCACACAGCCAAATGACAAAGAGGCAAAGAAAAGAGGAAGGGAACAGCCAGATACAACAAAACAGGGAGAAACAAACATAAACCAATCCTAGATGACAAGTCCCACATGCAAGCACCGCCCCCACCATCAGGGCCAAACAACGGGACAAGACCAACCAGGATTATATATTGCCACATGATATCAGAGCGCAAAAGCGAAAAATTAAACAAAGGGAAGGAAAAAGATATCAAAGTTCATTTTTTAATCTTCTTCCTTACAACTCCCCCTGTTCATAAAGAACCTCTTTTGCGTACAAGGCCGCCCACGTGGATGTAGGTTGAGCGGCGGCTGCCCCCACCCCCGTGTATCAGATATGAGGATTCGGCCTCCTGACGAGTCGGTGAAACTCCGAACGAAAAAAAAAAAAAAAAAAAAAAAAAACTCTGTAGCAGCCCCCGCTTCTTGTCCTTTTCGGTCTCTTTTACTGGGCAGTTCTCTAGGACGATATACATATGATGATGAGTACGGGCCTCGCCACACCGCTGTCGAAACGGAAAACGAACAAATGCATCTTCCTCAGAAAGTGGCGAGATGCATTTGTTGCTATACATAGTAACGGATGCATCTGGCCACTCCCTGCGACAACATGCAGTCGTACTTTTTTTCGTTTCGACAGTGGGTGTGGCGAAGCCCTACGAGTAGACTAGAGTGATGTATGTATGCTTGAATAATCACATGCATTTCATTATATAATAAAATTGATTAATCATTTGATTAATCATTTACGATTGGCTATATCACAAAAGTAGGGTGTGTTGCACGAGTCATGTTGCCTTTTCTGTAATGACCTGCAAAATCGCAGATTGAGAAAAAAATCCGCTGGTTTTTTTTTTCTTTCTTTTTTCTTTTTTTTTTTTTTGGAAAGCATTATCAATTTTTTATTAGTATTACAAAATTATTCAGAGGGCCGAGGTCGCGGACCTGGCAATTTGCCGCTAGGCTGTGTGACTTGCTGAGAGATTTCCGCTCTCTGCTGAGATTTCTGAGTCTCTGTGTGTGGGCATGCTTGTTGGAATCCCGTGTGATTGTCTGCTTGCCTGATCGCGAGGAGAAGAAGAGAAAAGAAAAGAGAAAAAGAAGATAGAAGACGAGGAGAAGGAGAGGAGAAGAGGAGAGGCGGGAGGAGAGAGGAGGAAAGAGGAGAGAGGAGGAGAGAGAAGAGAAAGGAGAGAAGAGAGAGGAGGAGAAAATAGAAGTCGAGGAGAGGAGAAGATAGAAGTCGAGGAGAGGAGAGCGGAGACAAGGAGGGAGGAGAAAAGGAGACAAGGACAGGAATAGGGACAAAAGAGGAGAGGAATGCCACGAACACGATAACATCATCGGACAAAAAGAGGAGAGGAATGCCACGAAGACGATAACATCATCATAAGCAGAAGGGGCTAGACAGCGTTCTTGTCCTCCGTAATTGCGCTCCAACCTTACAATACACTGGCAAGAGGACTACCTAGGGGTCAAACATAGAAAAGGGGGGAGGGGGGGGAGAAGAAGGGAAAAAAAAGGAATAATAGATGAAGGCAAAGAGTAAGAGAAAAAAGGAGAGAGGTGAAAGGGAGATGGAGATGGAGTGAGCACCTTCTTGCGCCTCTGACTCGTGTTTGCCCGCCACGAGAGACGAGGCTCCCCCTTACCTACCTCTCTCCCCTTCAATTCTTCCTGTTCCCCCTCCTCCTCCTCCTCCTCCTCCTCCTCCTCCTCCTCTCTCTCCCCCGCCACTCCAACCAACTGATTAAACTCAGAGCATACTCGCCCACTCGGACACATTCCTCTGAAGGTACCTGGCCGTCAATACGGCTACTCCTGGATGCACCTGGCCGCCATTATGCCCAAGAAATCATTCGAAACAGATTCCGCGTGATTAGCACATGCCCTCAGTTGTTCGCCCGCCTTCCGCTCTAAAGCGCTCGTCCGCGCGCACAAGCCAATCAACTCATTAGGTCGTTTAGAGTATAGGTAGAGCCCGACATCCGCGCCCCCGCCGTGTCCAAACGACACGACACAGATTTCACAAACAAACAAATTACCTCAAAAACGAGCGAGAAAGGCGGCCAGACAGCGCGCAGGAGGGGAGGGCCCTGGGGGAGGGGGGAAGGGGCCGGGGGACATGCAAGTTGGTGTTCACATACGGCAAATGCCGGCAATCCCGAGGGGATTGCCCAGGGATTGCAGTCCGCGGACGCGCGCGGAGACTTCCAATCGCTCTTCGCGCACGTACCGCTGGGGCCCGACCGGTCGGCGCTGCGTTATCACTCCCGGTTCAGTCCGGACGAATGGCGGGCCCGACCGGTCGGCGCTGCGTTAGCACTCCCGGTTCAGTAAAAAAAAAAAAAAAACATTCCCGGGAGCCTGTCCGGTAACGTGCCAGCGTCGTGGGGGCCGACGTTGCTCGTGCGTTTTTTTTTTGTTTTTTTTGTTTTTGGATGCTCGCGCGTTTTGACCGCGGTAACGTGAGCTGTTCACGCGAACAAACATGGCAGCCATGGGCAGACATACAAGCTTGTGTTATTGGACTTTTACTTTTATGATGGAGTCGTGCTTAGCTTGTGGATGTGGAGATGTACTGTAGGTGGTGCGGTAATGTCCATGCATTTACTGCGTTGAAAGCTGGCCACGTGAACGCTGGCCAACGAGCTTGCTGCAAGCCGGCTACCTACGGTAGCTTCGGCCTCAGCGACCTGCTGCACGCCGGCTTCCCCTGGAAAGTGTCCGGGTGTTTTGCCTAATCTCAGCCTCGACTTCTTATCCTTGTATTATATATTGGTCCTCTTGGAGCTTTTTGTGTACCCGTCATAGCTCCCACCACATTACACCTCAGCCAAGGCCACGGGGTGCATTCATCAATTGTAGGCAGAAGGCAAGAGCCCTCACCCTCCTAACATTCGCACTCAGCAGCGGAAGTGTCCACTCATCAATCAGGTTGGACAAGTCATCTGAATGCATAGATACAGAAGAGTGTACAACCTACAGAACAGATCCTGCCTCAAGTACAGTCGTGACTTGGAGCTTTTTCACTTCTGCTCTTTTCTGGTTAGACTTCTTCTGCATCTTGGTTCAAGGCATATGTCCAGATACTGGTTTCACTCACAGACGTCGCCAGGTTCGCCAGGTTATGGGCTTCTTAGCCGGAGTTCAGGATTTCAGCAGCAGCAGTATCTTCAACCAGACGTCACCGTGGATGAATCTCCACAGTCAGGCGCTCGATCTCCTCCCCTAGCACTGGAGGAAAGCAGAGTCAGGGATCTTATAGCTCAGTGATATGAGGAGGGTAATGTCCAAGAAGATCGTCCCGCCAAAGGGGTAGATATGAGGGGCGGACGAAAAGCGAACTTCAGAGCAAACCCCGAGGTCGGAGAGAACGGTAGGAAGGTGAAACCAGATCTGCTTCGTGCCTAGGAGAGTCCGTGGTCGAGGGATGGTGTTCGCAGCCAGGAGGCTGCGCTATACCCGGTTGCGTTTTGGCGTGCAGCGGGAACGCCCTTTTCTGGTAATAATAAGGTGAAACCAGATCTGGTTCGTGCCGAGGAGAGTCCGTGGTCGAGGGATGGTGTTCGCAGCCAGGAGGCTGCGCTATACCCGGTTGCGTTTTGGCGTGCAGCGGGAACGCCCTTTTCTGGTAATAATAAGGTGAAACCAGATCTGGTTCGTGCCGAGGAGAGTCCGTGGTCGAGGGATGGTGTTCGCAGCCAGGAGGCTGCGATATACCCAGTTGCGTTTTGGCATGCAGCAGGAACGCCCTTTTCTGGTAATGTTGCTCACGGTATTCGAGGCGAAGCGGCATTTATCTGGGTGGGAGCGGTCGGCAGGAAGGGTGCGTTCGCTGTGGCGAGAGGGACCGGTCATGTGACGAACCACTTCCCGACCCCGTGCCATCTTTCGTACCCTTTCTTTTGCTTGTATCATACCAACCCCAGGAAAACCCGGTTTTGAGTTCTTGCTTTCGGGTGCCGCATTTTCCTTTTTGAGAGCTTTTTCGACTGCTGAGTTCTGTTTCTCTTCTTGCAAAGTCAGGAAATACATGGGAATTTACGTGCGCCTTAGCGAGCGCACTGCGAATTGGGCTCGGTAGTTGGGAATTCCGGGATAAGCGGAACTTCGACGTGTCCTTTTTGGGTGTGTGAATGTTCTTGAGCGCGTCGGGGAAAACTCTCGGAATTTTGTGTGAATACGAATAGGCGTAGGATTTTCTTTTCCCGCGTCGCTTTCTCGCGCGCGGATATGGTGATTTCAATTTTGAATTAGGATAGAAGCAAGCTGTAACTGTTTCCGTGCCTTTTTCTTTTTTTTTGTTGACGGCGCCGTGCATGCAAAAGCTTCCTCCTCTCTGTCCCCCGCATCGCTCCCTCCCGCGCCTCCCTTTCCTTCTCCCTCCTTTTTCTCTCTCCCCGTAACTGTTTTTCCTTCTCCCTCTCTCTCTCTCCCGCCTTGCTTTCGCGCGCCCATTTCCCTTTCTTGATCATCTGAGTCTTAAACCCGTATTGCGCCACCTCTCGCGCCTTTTCTCTTCTCACCCTCTACGTCTGGCATACGACGCCCAGTCGATCCCCCGACAACTCCCGCTCGCCAATTAGGTGCGTGGATCGATAGGACCTTCCTATCGCGCGACAAATCTGATTGGTTGAACCTTGAGTTCCGAGGGATCAGTATGACGTTCGTAAAGCACTCTTGTCAAAGTCTTCTCCTCCTGCTTCTCCTCTTACACCTCAGCTTTCCTCTCGCCTTCTCCCCCTTCTATCTCCCCTGTCGCAACTATAAAACCCGCAAGCGCGTCCGCAAATCTCTCTTACGTTCTCGACTCCGAAGCCAGCTTCCGGGAAGCAGTGGCTATGCAGAGTGTTTTGAAGCAAGTCGGAAAGTCCTGTCGGGCTGACGATAGGCTGGCCGGTTGCGTGCTTGATCCCCACGACGGACTGTGGGATCCGGGCAAACCGTGTCGAGTTTACGACAGCAGGGTGACGATCGTAGTGGTGGGAGTTAGCACGCCACGACCGGGATCGTCGGTGCGGGTATGAGGATCGATGTTCGGAGTTTAGTTGATTGCCCCGGGGCCATATTGGAATTAACGGCGAATGCGCCTTTGTTACGGATTGTTATCCTTGGCGTGAGTGTATGGCTGTGACGCCAAACTTTTCTCTTTCCGGGCCTTGTCATCTTCTATTTCGACTCTCTTTCCCTCCACTCTCTCTCTCTCTTTCTCTCTCTCTTTTTTGATGATGCGTCTGAATGATTGTCCCTCTCGTGAATTGGAATGAGTCGGCGTCCTGTTTTTGTGTGAAAGAACTTCTTCCGGAACTCTTCCATTAGTTTCCTGGGTAATCCTCCTGCGCAAGGACCCTATCTTCTTGTCTTGTGAACGGTGGATGCGTGTGTACTGTGCGATGCGATCCATCTTTTCCTGTGCATGTCTCATTTTCGCACCTTCCACAGTGAATGCATGTAGGGAAACGTGTGACTCTTTTCGTGTTGATTAGACGATTGTCGTCGGGATTTTGTTCGAGAATGCAAGAGTGTTTAGATCTGTAGCTTTGTTTGCACTGCGCATGCCATCTGCCTTATGCTGCACGACATCAGCAGTCGAGCCATGAGGCAGCCCTGAGAAACAAGGCACCAACGTTGTGTTGAACTGAATCACGGATCGGTCCCTTAGTCATATGCATGATCAAGTTGGTCTGTGGTTGCTCTCTCTCTCTCTCGTGTCAACAAGATTGATTGGGGGACGCGCGAATCGCTTTTGTTGTTAATGACGTCTCAGGATATTTTGTGATTGATTGACATGTGGACTGACAAGTACCCTTCAATTGGGTGCCAACCTCCCGTATCTCCCATCCCAACGCGACCTTTTCCTTACAGTGAGGAAAAGACACGTGTATGTGAGTGGGACGTACGAGAAGCCGTTGGACAAATCGGCGGGCAGTATTACTTTCCTCCGGCCAACCGCTGTTCTGGGTTTGTAGAAGCCGGGTTTGTTATTATCGATACGCACTTCCCACCTTACTCGGTATTGTTACCATTTAACAAGTTGATCGTCATTCCGTGGACGGCAGTAGAACCCCTACTGGCCGCGCACTCTGTGCACCGAATGTCAGCGTTTTGAGCGCTACGAGTCCAGGGGTTTCCACTACCGCGTGCGGAGTGAAGACGAGCATAAANCTCTCTCTCTCTCTCTCTCTCTCTCTCTCTCTCTCTCTCTCTCTCTCTCTCTCGTGTCAAAAAGATTGATTGGGGGACGCACGAATCGCTTTTGTTCTTAATGACGTCTCAGGATATTTTGTGATTGATTGACATGTGGACTTACAAGTACCCTTCGATTGGGCGTCAGCCTCCCGTATCTCCCATCCCAACGCGACCTTTTCCTTACAGTGAGGAAAGGAAACGTGTATATGAGTGGGACGTACGAGAAGTCATTGCACAAATCGGCGGGCAGTATTACTTCCCTCCGGCCAACCGCTGTTCTGGGTTCGTAGAAGTCGGGTTTGTTATTATCGATACGCACTTCCCACCTTACTCGGTATTGTTACTATTTAACGAGTTGATCGTCATTCCGTGGACGGCAGTAGAACCCCACTGGCCGCGCACTCTGTGCACCGAATGTCAGCGTTTTGAGCGCTACGAGTCCAGGGGTTTCCACTACCGCGTGCGGAGTGAAGACGAGCATAAAGAAAGAGCCACGTGACTGAGACCCTCTACGTCAGACTCGGAACTAACCAGCGAACGACGACGAGACTTGATACGAAAACGGGACACGCGAAGCGTACCCAAGCCTTTCTGTTCTAAACGACGGGCTGTAGCCCGGTGGGAGGCACGACAATAGTTTTTGGATTGAATTTGGATCTTTCTGCTTTCGCGCCATGTCCGCGCGCGCATTCTGCGACGCGCGAAATTAATCGA